TCCTTTACTTTTTTTCCCTCTCACAAAAAAAATAAAAAACAAATGTGGGAAAAAAAGTACAACAGGCAAATGAGAATGTAAAGACGAGCACAAAAGCGGTTGAGCTCCTGAGTCTGTAGAGGGTTTGACTTGGATAGAAGCTAAAGATAAGGATGTAGGATGGCCTGTGTGTGAGAGAGTGAATGGAGGAGGGCTGATGGGAAGGTTAGCTCCAGAGGCCGGCGTAGTTTCCGTGTAGGCCCGAACACAGCGGGCCGCCGGCTACGAAGAGCTTGGTGCCGGAGTCGTCATAGCAGTGCGTGTACACAGCGTTCGGGAACGAGCGGATGTCGGAAAAGTAGCTTCTCCACGTTTCGTCGTGATTCTGAAAGAGAAATGTGGATTAAGACTGATGTTTTATTTATGACTCTGAGATTTACATGAAGTATAAAAAACATTTAATTCAGTCATATAAAAGAAATCATTTAGTGTTTAACAGAATTGTCATTAATTCCTCATCAACTTGTTTCAAAAATATTCTGAAGACTGTTGAAGCAGCACTTGATTTCCATTGCATTTTCGGTGTATGTCAATGGCTGTTGGTTTCCAACATTCTTCAGAAAATCCTGTTTTGTGTTCATTAGAAGAAAGTAAGTTTCAAACCACTAGAGGGTGAGTAAATATTCATTTTTGGGTGAACCACCCCTAAAATAATGTATTTCTATGCATTTACATCTATGATTTATGATATAGACTAATGTCTAGTCAGTATCAAACTGCAAGTAAGTCTGAATGTGTTACATGTTCATGAAAAGATTCATTAAATAAGCTAGATAAGATACAGATAGACATATAGATAGACAGACATATAGATAAACATATAGATAGAATAACAGAATGATAGATAGACATAAATAGAACGATAGATAGACAGACAGATCAATAGATATAATGACAGACAGACCGATAGACAGAATGATAGAACGACAGAACGAATGACAGAACCATAAATAGAACGACAGATAAACAGACAGAACGACATACCGATAAACAGAATGATAGAACGTCAGAACGATTGAACGACAGAACGATAGATTGCCAGAACAATAGATAGAATGACATGATAGAATGACAGAACGATAGAATGACAGACAGACCAATAGACAGACCGATAGATAGAACGACAAACTGACAGACAGAATGATAGAACAACAGAACGATAAATAGAACGACAGCACCAATAATAGATTAAATGACAGAACGAACGACAAAACAGAACTAAAGACAGATAGAACGACACAGAACGGACAACAGATAAAAAGAACGACCAAATGACTGATAGAATGATAGACCAAAAGACAGAAAGAACATCAGATAGACAGAACGTCAGACAGACCAACAGACAGAATGATAACATGACAGACCGATAAGCAGAACGATAGAATGACAGACTGATAGACAAAATGATAGAATGACAAGACTGAACGAATGACAGAACAAACGATAAATAGAACGACAGAACGAATGATCGAATGATAGAACAGCAGAACAAACGACAGAAAGAACGTCAGATAGACAGAACGACAGATAGAATGATAAAACAGCAGAACGATAGATAGAAAGACAGACTGATAGACAGAATTAAAGAATGACAGGACGGAACAAACGAGTGAACGAACAATAAATAGAACGACAGAATGAACGATCGAATGATAAATAGAACAGCAGAACAAACGACAGAAAGAACGTCAGATAGACAGAACGTCAGAAAGAGCGACTGACAGAACGATAGATAGAATGATAAAACGGCAGAACAATAGATAGAAAGACAGTGATAGACAAAATGATAGAATGACAGGACAGAATAAACGACAGAACAAACGATATAGAACTAACGACCGAATGATAGATAGAACAGCAGAACAAACGACAGAAAGAACGTCAGGTAGACAGATCGTCAGACAGAACGATAGATAGAATGATAAAACGGCAGATTGATAGACAGAAAGACAGACTGAGACAAAATGATAGAATGACAGGACTGAACGAATGACAGAACAAACGATAAATAGAACGACAGAACGAAGGATCGAATGATAGAACAGCAGAACAAACGACAGAAAGAACGTCAGATAGACAGAACGACTGACAGAACGACAGATAGAATGATAAAACGGCAGAACGATAGATAGAAAGACAGACTGATAGACAGAATGAAAGAATGACAGAACAGAACAAACGAGTGAACGAACGACAGAACGAACAATAAATAGAACGACAGAATGAACGATCGAATGATAGATAGAACAGCAGAACAAACGACAGAAAGAACGTCAGATAGACAGAATGTCAGACAGAACGATAGATAGAATAATAAAACGGCAGAACAATAGATAGAAAGACAGACTGATAGACAAAATGAAAATGACAGGACAGAACAAACGATAAATAGAACGACAGACAGAACGACAGAATGATCGAATGATAGATAGAACAGTACAACAATCGACAGAAAGAACATCAGATAGACAGAACGTCAGACAGAATGACAGAAAGACAAACAGGCAGACACTTTACTAGAATCATTTAAAAAAAAAAACCTGAGTGATATTTTTGGATTTATTTCCAAACACAAGAATTCAAGCTTTTTCAAAAATGCGTTTGAAATAAATCTTTGATGCTATCAAGGTCATATTTGACCAAAAATAATGTGAAACACGATAAGCATTTTCTATGATAAATCCCTGTAACTACAAAGCTGAATATTTTGTTCAAGAAGAATTTTTAATCAGTTGAAAAGTATTAATTAATAAATTAAATTACACACAAATGCTTTAATTCTTAAGGGTAGTGTATAATACATGCAGAGCAGGGTAATGTTCAGCTCTGGACAGAAAAACCTGATGTGTGGAGTCCCCGATATTGACTTTATATTAGGCAAATTCTTCAATTTGTAACAAAAAGGTGCGACCAAAGTGGGTCAATTAAACCAATCAAACAGTAGTTTTACTTCAGTGTGGCCTTGTTATTAATGCAGCAGACAGCATTTCTGCTTAATGAACTTTCACATGGTTAACAGAGACTGATGCTGCCGACAACCCCCTGCTCCAGTAAGCACTTTACAAAGAAGCTTATATAGAGACTTATTAATTCAGAAGCATGTCCAAAAAAAAAAGACAAAAGAATAGTGATATTACAAGTAGAGCAAGTCAGTGTTAAAGTCCCTAAGACGGTTTTAGCGCCAGAATTCATTTAAAACTGCTACACTACTGAAATATCTAAACTACTGTTCTAAAGTTTCAGGTTAGCATGACTTTTCTTTAAAAACAATGAATTCTTTTATTTATCAAGGATGCTTTAAAGTGATCAAAACTGACAGAAATGACATTTAAGCATAAAACAGCACAACGTGTTTTCAGCATTACTATTAATAATAATAATTAATTAATTTTTTAGAAACAAATAAAAATATTAGCATAATTTCCAAAGGAGTATGTGACACCGTAGACCACAGGTTCTGAAAGGGCCGCAGCTCTGCACAGTTTAGTTCCAACCCTAATTAAGCACACCTGATCAAACTAATTGAGTCCTTCAGGCTTGTTTGAAACCTACAGGTAAGTGTGTCGGAGCAGGGTTGGAACTAAACTGTGCAGGGCTTCGGCCCTCCAGGAATTGAGTTTGACACCTCTGCCGTAGACAATTCAGCTTTGCCATTAGAATGAAATACATTTTTATTAATGCCACTTCTGTATTCATATTTGCTCTATAAATATTCTATATAACAGGGTCCCCACTCTCTCATGAACAGCAGATTCAAGGACTTTTTTAAAAGCACCATTAATTTTAAACCAAGAACATTTGTACTTCATACCCCAGCATATGTAGCGCTATGAAAGCCCTTTGCTAAATGTAACATTTCACTAGCACTTAATACCTACATTAAAAATATCAAAGAACTTTAATACAATTTGTTGAATTCAATACTGGTAATATTCAGAAGTGTTCTCTGAAATATTGATTAAATGTGCATTGTGTGTCATTGTTCTTGTGCAAGATATAATAAAGAATTTCTCAGTGTTTTTGTTCAGTTTCTTAATCAGAACAGAGCAACTGTTTAAATAACACCATAAACTTTTAATTCAAGCTCGTTCAAGAACCCACGTTTGTTTATCACCACTTTCCAGGCCTTGAATTCATGTCTCAAATTCAAGCACTTTTAGGAAGAGTGGGAACCCTGTATATAGGCTTTAAATACTATTAATTTTTCATATAATTTTAATAGTATTACTGCATATTTAAACAAATAAACGAAAAAACATTCTGAGAGTAATAGATTTGTCAAACACTTCTATAAAGTAGTACATAAAAAAAGTAAGAAAGAAATCAATGAAAAAACTTTATAGGTAATTCTTCAACTACGGCACTTTTATGTCCTTCGATCATATTACCAAAAATATATATATAATTTTGTTCAAATTCCTTTTTCTTTGTCAAACTAATATTAAAACCTACTTTATTTTTTTTTTACCACCTTACCACCAGTTTTAAACTTCAACAATGAAAATAACATTTTAAAATATTATTTATCTGGTATCTATTAATGTATCCTAATTAAGCACTGGTGAAATAATTTAAATATTTTATAGTTATTAATGTGTGACTATTATCGATATTATTTTTTGGACAAAAATATAGCTGTCGCACAGTATCAGTATAATTTCCACCACAACACTGTAATGTTGCTTTAAAAAGTTTGTGTAAACGATTATTTAGGTGGTTACTGTGAAAATGAATAGTGCCATCTGAGAACATGTTCAAGATGGAGGGAATTAAATTTTTTTTCACTTGAAGAAAAATCAAGGTAAAAACTGCTTGATAAGGAAATACATTTATTCTACGTCATTTCCAAACATGTTGTACCTTTAAAGATGTTTTTAAAAACCAAACAAAATTAAGGCAAATAAGAGTGTTTTGTATACATGAAAGGCTAGTATCAATTCAAAGACAATCGGTGAGGCTATTTTTTATTTTTTTTACAATAAACTGTTGAAATGTCATTTCCACCACTGTCATTTCCATCACCACACACATTTAAAAAATATTTAAAAAGTTCTCATCACACATTAAAAGTGTATTCACCATGTATATGTTAATGCTCTATTTAATATACAAATTCAGTTAATTTATTTTCTAATAAACTCTTTACCAAATTTATATTAAATTTAAAAGAGTGTGACAGGTGTATAATTCAGCATACAGCTAATTTATTTCATTGACAAATGTATAACTATTATATATAGTGGAAAGATTGGTTAAACTAGATACAAGAATGATCTTAGACGATGTTTGTCTGCCATAATTTATTTCATTTTGAAAAATAAGCTGTATATTGAGATGTGGTGGAATTGACATTAGTTCAGTTCACGGTGGAAAAAAAAAAAAAAAGTTTCTCTTCTTATCTAAGTTTGTCCTCTTACAGATCTTAAAACTAGACAAATTGTTTAATCTACGAGGCTATGTTACTTTAACTTTAAACAAGTTTTTTTACTCCACTTCACATGGCTAAAAGTGCCCGTAGTTGAAGAATGGCCCTTAAATTATTTATCAAAAGTGCATATAATGTCTAAACTAATATACATAAACTGCTTGAGGTCTAATCAACATATATATTATTAATTTAGACAATCTTACCAGCCATCCTCTTCCTGTGGTGAGTTTCAGGATGCCCTCTGCAGTGCGATTCCGGTACCCGCCGGGTGTGCTGGATGGGCCATCCAGAAAACGCTGGGCCCTGATGTCATAGAAGAGCAAGGAACCCTGACCAGTGCCTACCGTCACTATGTGTTCATAGAAGCTCACAGAGCGAATACCTAAAAAGACAATCAAATATGGCTTCAGAACTTTGTGTGAATCATCTTTTCAGGGGGTGACAAGTGAAATGAAGTAAACGTCATACCGCTGCCACGCTCTCTGGAGCTCACGGATTTGATGTTCTGAGAAGATTGCCGGGGGTCGAGGAAGGAAACGTGTGCCTGAGAACCGACTGCATAAACAGACCAGTCCAGCCCGTAAGCCAGACAAACATTCTCCTTACAGTAAGGGAGTTTTGTAGAAAGCTCCTGAAAAATCACAGAACACAAAATAAGATAAGATAAGATGTGCATTAGTGCATTAGTGGCCACCCACTTTGTCCTGTAGTATTACAGCCAACAGCAGACCAGGTCAGGTTTAGCTTTTTTGACGTAAACATGTGACCATCTACAAAGAGACCCAGCAAGTTTTTTTGTTTTCATTAAATCATCTATATGCAGCGGCACAGAAACCAAATATGAAGAGGCATGAATTCACAAAACATGCATTTACGCAGACCATTTAATAAGGCATACCTTCTTTACACTGAGCAGACACAGACTTGCTTCTATAGACATGTAAACATAGATGTATTGGATTAAACCATAGGTCTCAAACTCAAGTCCTAGAGGGCTGCGGCTCTGCACAGATTTGCTCCAACTTTAGTCAAACACATCTGATCCAAATAATCGAGGTGTTCTGAGGAGTCTACAACCCCTTCATTAGTTGGATCAGCTGTGTTTGATCAGGGTTGGAGGAAAACTGTGAAGAGCTGCGGCCTTCCAGGAATCCAGTATGAGACCTATGAATTAAACAAAGCTTAATTTGGGTTGTCAGCGAAAACCTAATAGACATCTAACAGCAGTACAAAATTAGACCAGTCATCAAATTGACATTGAAAATGAGTGTGTGTAATATAGGGGTGTCAAAATTAATCGTTTCTTCAGTGCACCGCGATGCAGACAATTCGGTATCGGTTCAGTAATAATCATAACCGGTTATTACTGACGTCATTCACCACATATGCGCTCTGTCGCAAGGAAGGCGAGCGCGAGTATTTACAACACTCTAACTACTTAAAACTCCTAAACTGTGCACAATTTCACTGTGCGTGTTTGCTGGATCAGTCTTTCACTGACATATACAACAAAAGCCCCTATTTTACTGAGATCGAGAAAATGAAGGTACTCCATTTCTCTCTCGCTCTCTCTTACACACACACACACACACACACACACACACACACTCACACACTCACACACTCACACACTCACACACTCACACACTCACACACACACACACACACACACACACACACACACACACACACACACACACTTTTCTTCTCCTCTCGGCTGTTTTACAGCATTACTTCTGGTTCTGGATAAAGAAAAGAGCGCTTGTCTGCAGAGTTTTCTCCACCGTGTCTATCATACATCAGCTGTGAGATCGCCGCTGCCACCTGCCGCTCAGTGTCACTCATCTGTGAAGAGCGCAGCATGCAAGAGCCAATCACAACTGTTTTTGTTGAGGGTGTGACCAATCAAAGAGGTGTAAGTGAACTAGACATGGATCAAAAATTGAGCTGGATATTTATATTTGTTTATATTATTTGCTAAATGCTCGTGTTGTTTAAATGTACAGTTTATATATCGGACTGTATTAAATGACAAAATTGTATTACAAATAATATATAAATATAAATATATTTATACATTTTAATACAAGAACTGCTGCTGTGAAGAAAATATAAAACTGTTTATGAAAAGCATTGTCAATGCACCGTGATGCACCCAAATATTGAACTGAATCGAAGGCGTGATAATCGTAACTGAACTGAATCGTAAGATTAGTGTAGGTTCACAGCTCTGTAATATGTCTACTTCATGACTTGTATAAGTTTGGACTATTGCTAGACCAGTAGATTTTCATTGACAGCACAAATGCAGTCTTGTTTTAGCCAGGACAACTATGTTTAGACGACTATTAGATAGAAATAAAAGCAAAATAGCTTGGTTGGAAAGTACTTGAATTATGTGAAGCACACTGATGATTTTGTGATTTGGTTTAAAGTCTTTTAAAATAAATATATTTAAGTTTAAGTATCAGTGTGTTAGTCCTAATGCTGATGATAAACAGGGTAACTTTGAGCAATGTTGCTGGGCAACTTTGGGAAATCATGCCATAAATGGGCAACCAGGTGAGACATGGGGTAACAAATTAGGACAATGGGCTACTGATACAATATTCTTTCCCATTCTTAGTAGAAAAGTAGCCAAGCAACATAGCCCAAAAAGTTGCCCTGCATCAGCATCAGGATATCTATAAGCTGGTGTGCTCCAAAACAAAATTCTCATTTAGAAGATATAAACATCCAACGCTTGCAGTTGGTCAACGATTATTTTTTGTCATCTTTGTCATTCTTCAGTTTCTAATCAAATCTTCTGACCGAACAAATGCTCTACAGCAGTGGTGCTGTCAAGCCTGTTTCTGAAAGAGCGGTCACTTTAACTCAGACAGTTAGCGTGGTAGCATACTCTGTGAACCTAACCTGGTCAGGAGCAGGTCTTATTCTCTAAACTCTGAGTTTCTATCTCTCTCTTCCCCTTTTTAAAGAAAGCAGTATATTTCCTTACCTTAGTTATTGCTTACATTTTAGTCACACAAAGAATAAAGCTACGAGAATGGCTTGTCCTTTTTGGTAACATTACAATTAGACTCAATACCATAGTTTTTATTTTTACCATTGATATTACTGCAAAAAACAAATAATCAGCTTAAATTCACTGACCTTCAACAGGAAAATGTACTTTAGCTAGAGTAATAGGATTATTACTCGTTCTAAAAACTATTTTTTAGTACTGCTTACACTCAAAATGTCATATCAACCTCTAACACTTGATGAATGAAAAAGGCAGACACACAAGTGCACTTTTATACGTATTAAAAACTCAATTTTAGAAATGTTATCTGTAATGTAAAAGTGGGAACCTTAAATTAAACATTTCCACTGAATGTTAAGGTTATATGCATTGTTGTTTGGTGAAATTTGTTGTAGAAATTATGCAGTAACCTATTTTATGTAATTTAATGCAATTACATTTGAAATAACTTTAAAATTACAGCCAATTCCCCACTTTTTCCAGTGAAAATTCAATGAACGTCACACGTTGCATCACTTATTTTTTAAATAAAAAAAAATGCTGATCTCTTTTTTAAGATGTTGCCAATGTGACTCGTAATATCTGAGCTCCATTGAAAATGGCTTTTTATAGTCGCGATGTGCGTGCTTGAGTTTTCAATCTCATAATAAATTAACTCAAAGTTTAAGTTTAAACTCTGAGTTGGTTGAACCTTCTGACTGAAACAGCCCCGTTGACTTCTATAGTGTTTGTTTTTCCCATTATGAATGTCAATTCGTACCCATTTTTAACATTCTTGAAAATATCTTCAATTGTGTTTAACAGAAAAAAGAACTTTCTAGATATGCAAATGGTGATAAATTTTTTTTTTTTGGGTGAATTAACCCTTTAAGCAAAAGATTTACCTAATTGAGTCAATCAAAAATTTGTCAGACTTGTATTATGTCATTGGTGGCTCTTCACGGTGCAAATCTACGAAGCAATTTGCTCACTGGGAGTGACTAATTGGTGGAATCATGGGTAATGTAGTTCTTCTGCACAAATATTTAGCTAGTAGTAACTGTACCTTGGACAGGTTGTCTTCTGCCTTCCACAAATGGAAATATCCATCTAAAGAAACGGCTCCCAACTCCTGGACGAAAATAAGAATTGGAGAATTGAATAACGCACAAAGACAAAGTCAATACAGAGTCGATACGTTCAAGGACAGCCGCTGACCTTATGGCTGTTGTTGAAGGCCAGTGCGCGCACTTTGCAATTGTAGGGGTGAGTGTATTCTTTCGGGATGTCCTTAAGAGCCCGGTGAGAGATGTGGGAGTAACCAGGAACACCTTCCACATTCTGGCGCTTCTCAGCCTGAGACAGAACGTCCTCTGAAATCTCCCACAGACCCATGGAACCATCACGAGATCCTGCTCCGGGAAATAAAGCAGTCATTCTCTTTTTATAGAGCTGTACTAAATGTGTGCAATGCATAACAGATAATGTAGAATACAACACAAAATAAACCCCACTTAGGAAGAAGAGAG